TGTGGCCATACAGCCTTCAACCTCCGAAGATTGAATGATGTTAGATAGGATTCCTGCACTCTGGAGTGTCTTACCTCTATGGGAGAATGGTTCTGTTTGAAAACTAAAACCCCAGTTTGTGGAAGAGAAATCCAGATTCTGTTGCTTCTCAAGCTTTCCAACTGTGGCGATGGCAGAGGCACCACTGCATGGATGAATCAGAATGAGCCTGGCTTTTGTGTTTGACTTGATACCCTAGTAAACTGGGTTAGGGGTCTTTGCTGATACATTGCTCTGATTTGTAATGCCAAAGCTCCTGCCTGTGCTAGTCAATGCGGAATAAAAAGGTGAGGAAACAAAAGCAAAATCTAAAGAGTGCTAGGCATGAACCACACAGACGTGTGGAATGATGAGATTTGTATCGGCAAATGTGGAGCTCACTGTACGTACACAAACCGATGAAACAATATTTCCATTGATAATAATCGAAATGTGCAGCTAGGCAACGTGAGAAAAATGTGCTTTGAGAATGTTTTACAGTTTGATTTAAGGAGCTTTACTTTGTATATTTTGCCATGTGATGTTGTTAATTGTGTTTTAATGGTTATAAAGCTTTAACTTTTTGAATTTCAACATCTATTGTCATTAAATAATTATTGTCTGGCTCCCACCATAATTTCCCACAATCGTGAACATTTAATTAGATAAACACTGAAAAAATGCTTAACACACATGATTTGGTGCAACTGTAAAAATGTAAGTCGAAAAAATAGGCTTAAAAATACATCAATATACATCTGTCAAAATTCTAAAAAAATCGAACTCTAATCCTGCCAAGCCCAGCCATAAAGCACTGAGCCAGCCCTTCAGCTCCAGCCTCCAAGTAGTTACATGGGCCCTTTGGAACCGAAGGAAAAGAACCAGTGCATTAATGACTCTTTTCCTTCTAGCATGTTGGATGTGATTGCATAGTCACAGGGGACATACACATATGTGCCTGATGGCTTCTCTCCACTTGAGTGAGTTTGTTTGGAGGCCTAAGGGTATTTTATTAGCTGCGCCACTCTAACACCCTCTAGTTGGCCTCTGCGTTGGGAAAGCATGGCTCGTCTCCCAGTATTCCAAAAGCATCAGACCAGAAAAATGCTATGTCCCAGACTGCAGCTTCAATACTGACGGTCCGTGGAAATGCTCCGCTTTCCAAATGGCCTCTACACATTCCCGTGGAGTATTAAGGGGTTACAAGTATCTCCATTATTGCTGTCCTTAGCCTGGGGGCAGAAATAATGTCCCTTAGACAATGCTATTCTCTGTTTGGAGCAGTGCTCGAGTCTTAGCAGAGAAGTGCCGCAATGGCACTGGTGTCTCATCCCTCGGTGCTGGAGGTACCGGAATGCTGATCCCAAAGGAGGGCTGGAATGGCATTCTGGCATAACTTGGGTCCTGGCTTGGCTGCAGGACTAAGGTTACTGGGACATCATGTTATCAGAGCAGAATTAGGAGTAACATCGCTTGGGCATTGGAACCTCAGGCTGTGCTGACTGGCGCTGCTCTTTGGAGCAGGTCCAGTGTGTAGACAGAGCCTAGCATGCAGCGGGCATTACTGGAATACTGATACAATAATAACAGAGCAATACTTCAGCTGGTTTTACTGCATTTGCTTGGCATGAGGAGCAAGATTTCGAGCATTGGCACTTTCTGGTGGTTTGGAGGAAAAAACTGGGGCATCAATTTTAAGCCCGGAGAGTGGCTCCCATGCACTCACTAGTGCCAGGGCTGTGTAATGACTGTGTAACCCAATGCAGGGACCATGCTGTACTAAACAATGGTTCACACAAAGCCTTAGGGAATATTGCAGAAGCCAACAGCGTTATCCGCTGTGCCAGGAAATCTTTACCTTCCATCAGACGGACCATGATGATGGGCTCCTTTATAAAAATAATAAAAAAGAAGCTAGAGAGCCACCTGGACAACTGCCAGGGAAGTATGGAAAGACTTGGGTTAATTGTATCAGCTGAAGGATGAGGTGGCAAGGCCATGATTTTCAAGAGTGCAGCACACTGGGCACTGAGAATCTTGAAAATCTGGCCAGGAGCGTCCCCTTGGGAGCGGCTGGGTGCTGAGCACTTTGGGCTCCCTGTCCTGTTTTAGGGGCAGAGCTCTTTTGAAAACCTGGCCTGCACCATGATTCTCGAGCCCTTTTGACAATGATACCTTGCTAGACAGGAACCCCTGGGATCTTGATTCATCCCAGCCCCTTTGTGCTCACTTTGTACCTCTCTTTCTCTGCTCTCTCTCTAGCACCAAGGCCAGCCTGCTCCCAGTGGGCATCCTGTACTGGAGGAGGCAGTCTGAGGGAAGGGCGCAGCTTCTCCATTCCCAGCCTGGCTCTTTGCTGCAGGGAACAATGCTGTGTGGGGCACTGCCATGCCGGCTTGTCTCTGCGGGAGTGAGGAGCCAGAAGAGCACTGGCTGTGTGGGAGCTGACAGCTACAGCTGGGCTCCATGTCACACCCTGCCAGAGAGGGGAAAGTAGTCTTTTCTGGTAGAAACTGAAGCTAATTCCTGCCTCTGCCAGCCAGTGACTCTGTGTGTGCAGGGCTGGAGCCGTAACAAATCCAGCTCAACACAAGTGCACACCAGCCCCCCAGCTCTCTTCAGCCGTCGCTGCACGTAATGACTGATGGGTGCTGGCTCTTTTATGCAAGGGAAGTTTTCATCTGCTAGGCCCTCCACACCCTCAGCCAAAGATAAGTCCTGGCCTGTTACAAAACACCACCCCACCCCTAAGCCCCACCCCTGACATGGCGCTTCGCCACCCTCCCGGGTCTTACCAGAGCCCCCAGCACTCCCCAGTGCCCCTGGATGGTGGCTGAGCAATTGACTACAACTCCCACCAGACGCTGTGTGTGTGTGTGTGAGAGAGAGAGAGAGAAGCATGCAGCACTGTCCACGGGTTCTGTAGATAGATTAAACCAGCACCAAATGCACACTGGAAAAAAGAACTCTGCCTTGGTGCTATTCACAGTCCAACCCAGACACGATGTACAGTCCGAGGGAAGTGGCCTACAAGTACCGGCCAGTGGGGCACTTTTATCTGCAGCCTGTCTATGACTTGCTTGGCTCTGAGAAGCCTCATGAAACACTGCACCATTCCCCATGGATTGTATGCACAACATGAAGGCCACTGGCCCAGGGCAGGCACAGATAGCAAGTGGGCTACAGTGGCACACACAAGGAAAAACCCCCACTGCTGGAACCACTGTTGGCAATTAAAACCTTAATACACAAACCACACATCAGTGACCATAGCTAGCCAGGGCTGGCTTCTCTAAGTATTTAGTTGTCGAGTGCAAACAGGCATCCAATGGGATTTTCCAAAGCACCCAAGCAGGGCTGGTGCCTAATTCCAATTGATTTCAATGGGAGTTAGGCACCAAACCCACTCAGGTGCTTTGGAAAATCCCCCTAGGCACCTATTGGCATCATCAGGCTCCTAACTCCCTAATTCTGACCTTCAGTGTCTCTCAAAGGAGCATCCTGGCCCCACGCATGCCACTAACAGCCACAAATCTGTCCCCTCTGTGCTCAACTCCTCTGACCCATGGGATTTCTCTCACTCTCCAACTCCAGATATGGTTCCTTTGCCCAACCCCGTCACCCTTGCACCTGGCCACTCCCATCAGGACTCCTTCTCTTTATGTACAAGGCTGTTTTCCTTCATCCTCTCCTCATCACGTCCACACACACACATTATTAAGTCCTCAACCCCCTCTTTCCAGTGCTGTTCCCCCTTCAGCCCTATTTTCTACAGGTCTGGTGACACAGAGCAGGGTGAGGCAGCCCAGCCCCGAATAAACCCAGCTGGAATTCCCAGCCCACTTTGTGCAAACAAGGACGAGGGACGGTGCACTGGAGGCTCTGGATTCTGCAGCTTTATGGATGTTTGTCAGCTCCCAAGTATTGTATATAGGATTCATGACTAGCTAAGGGCCAGACTGGAAACCCCTAGCACACAATAGTGTGTGCTTGGGCACAGAGTAGCCCCATTGAAGTCAATTTGGTTACTCGCATGAGTAACTCCACACCCACGTGAGTGAGGAGTTCACAGCCTGCCCTGCCTGTGGACAGGACAGAAATGACCTGTCTGAACAAAAGACCCTGGCAGTGTTTGCTGATTGCAAACGTGAGCCATCCAGGAAGTCTTGTGTTTTCATCCACTGGCTCATGCCTGCTCTGTGAAGCCTAGCCAGGCCTGGGGGCCTGCAGGGGAAATGGGCTCAGGGGCCCGTGCTGGGACTTTGCACAGCTCTGGAGGGGAGGCAGGTGTGAGACACCACTGTATCTGCATGTACATCTGACAACAGGGGATGTGGAGTCAGCAAACTCTGCTGTGCCACCAGGATTCTCACAGGACTTGAGCAAATGAAGGCGTGGGACTACATGTCACATGTGGGATAACGTATGGGGATGTGGGCTCGGAGTTCACCCAGCAGCTCAGGCAGCTCAACAGCGCCTAGGCTCAGGGCATGAACATGTCCGTGCATGTGTCACATGGCAGGCTCCGAGCCCTGCGCTCATCAGGCAGTGCAAGGATGCCTGAGGTCCAGGTGCCGTGCTTCATCCGCCCATGCTGTAGACAATGGTGCCAGGGCCTGTTTCAGATGGCGTCAAGGTGCCCAGGCTTGAGGTGCTGGGCTGGGCTCAGAGAACTATGCCATCACTACACTGTTTGTGGGCTCTGAGTGCATAGAATCATAGAATCATAGAATATCAGGGTTGGAAGGGACCCCAGAAGGCCATCTAGTCCAACCCCCTGCTCGAAGCAGGACCAATTCCCAGTTAAATCATCCCAGCCAGGGCTTTGTCAAGCCTGACCTTAAAAACCTCAAGGAAGGAGGTTGTGTGACTGTCACCTCCCTGAGCCTCAGTTTCCCTTGGGGGACAATGTACTGACCTTTGAGATCGATGGCTGAACAGTGCAATAGAAGAGTTTGGTAGTTTCATTAAAAAAAGGATACTTCCTTCTTTGCTCTTCTCTTGAACGCTTTCCATGCCGGGAAGGGCAGATGCAACACGTCGGAACAGCTGGCGTAGGTCGGGGGGTAAGAAAGAGAAGGAATCTGTCACTGAAGTTCAGGGTTTGTATCCATAGCCATCACTTTTCATTCTGTATTTGACACAACTGAGAACAGCAAAACTCATTATGTGCAATGTTGGTGAAGCTAGACTGGGGACTGATAGATGTGTCACTTCCACTCTGGTGTGACCAGGTCAATGTGTAAGGTCTTGTTCATGGTAGAAAACTCACACTGGTGTAACTAAATGGATTTAAAAATCACTTTATACCGATTTAACTTAATCCAGGAAATAAAGGGATTAAACTAACCCTGTATAAACATGATTTACACTGGTTTAAGTGCAGCTATATAATGGATTTTCATCAGTGTAACTAAATCAGTTTAGTAATGCAAGCAGGGTCTGAATGAGTTCTCCCCTGACACTAGCTGGGAGGGGGATAGACTTCAGGAGAAAACCGTATTTACATGAACACACCTACCCTACCAAGATGTCCAGCAGATAGAGTGGTGTTGTTCAAAGTGATCAACTTTGGGTGGTGTTGGGTTGCAAATCACTTTTGTACTGAATGCAGGGGTAGTGAAAGGTTGTTATCAGTGTTGTTCTCTTTATTGTATGAGTAAAGAGGATTAGAACTGTGCTTAACTGTCCCAAATGAGGGGGTCATCCCCATCTGAAAGGACCTCGTTCAGCCAGGGGCTCGAATGCCAGACCCCTGTGAAAGTAAGAGGAGTGGGGACAGGTGTCCTAGCCAGGAGATGTGGCTTTTCCATAAGGGTCCCTAGGCTGGTTTAACCTGTTCCTCCCCACTGTTCAAAGATAGAGCTAAACAGGCTCTATTAGGAGCCTTTGTTATTTTAAGTGCTTAATTGGGAGCTGAAATCACTTGTGGTGGGACAGCATTTCTGTGCAGCCTGCTAAAAGCTGAAAATCACTAAGAGACTGACCAGCAGAGAGGAAGGTGACCAGCAGAGAGGAAGGTGAGAGGAAGGCCACAGTTGGCTGGCAGAAGCGGAATGAGCAGCTGGTGAGGTGGCCAGCCAGAGTAAGTGCTCAGATGGTGGAGCAAGCAAGGTGCCTTCTTCCCTGGGTGGGAGGTGAACTCACAGACGTACCTCTGACCCCTGTGTCCTCACTAACCAAGGACAACCACTGTGAGTGGGGTATGGTAAGGGAACAGAGTGGGGCACAGCAAAGGAACTTTTGGCTTCAGAACTCAGGAACATGAGGCAGAAGACTCTGCCCCATGCATTCCGGGGTGGGTGTTCTGCTCATGGTTTTATGATTATAAATCCTGCTTGTGGCATTTTCCCAATTAATGTTGGGTGAATTCCACTCTGGTTTGTCTGTGAAAGTGTTGTTTTCTTTGGCAAGAGAAAAGAGAGTTACTTGGAAATGATGCAAGGAACATGTCTGATTTAAACAGAGAGAAGCAATTTACTCACATGACTGGATGACTTGCCCAAAGTTCTAAGGAGGTTAATTTAAGTTTGATATGTGCTGAGTAATCCTTCATTTCCTTCCACTAGAATCAAAGACCAGCTTTGATTTTGTCACCTGTTTCCTGGCTGGATGTTGAGAGACATGGCACCAGCAGAGGAAGTAGCTAGACATCTAGGGCAGATTCCCAGCTGGTATAAACTGGCATCCCTTCATTGAAGCTACAGTGATTTCCACTAGGTGGGGAGCTGGCCCTTCAAAGTTATCATTTGCACCTTCAGTTTACTGTGCCAAATAAGACTGTTTCTGAAAACCGCTCCCCTGTATGTCTATTGCCTCCACGTTCCAGTCTGCAATACTGCATATTAGCATATTGTGTTAGTAAAGTACTCTCACAGCTAACAGTCATAAACTTCTTCCATGGAAGCTATTAGCATACATGGAGCCTTCCTTTCTGTAGTGTGGTGCAATGTACGCTCATATTGCATTACTCCGCAAAGTAAATAACCTCAGCCAGGGAACAGCCACCCCCATCTGTAGTAAACATGCAATCTGAGATACTGCATGTGTTATGTGAAAAATCATATTTTCTTCTTCTCAAATAATTTCTAAACAGTATCATTTACATTAGATGATTAATTACAGGAGCACTGCTCATGTATCCCAAGTATGAGGCAATTTTATATCACATCTCTCATTCAGCAGAAGGAATGAGGTGATTTCTATCTTAGGACATGATTTATTATTACTGAGGCCAGGACAAGTATCTGTTAGAATTGACTGTTATTATCATTGTAGTTTAGTGAATCTACATCTGCTTTGCTGCTGCAGCTGTAGGAGCAAAAGACAATGGCTAGTACTTAGATTTATCTCGAAGCTAATGCTGTGCTCCAGTGTCCTGTCCATTACACTTTTCAAATCCTACATTCAGGGATCTAAACCAAGTCCTGGCTGTACAGTGACCTGGGATTTCTTTCCCTGAGATGCAAAAGGGAATACACATCCCTGTTTATTCATTTGCTCTAGTGAGATATTTACCTCCTGGTCATTATTATTGGTTATTTGTATCGTGGTAGCTCTCAGGGCCCCAGTGCAGTCACCACAACAGGTAACAAACAATTATCAACAGGTTTTAACAGAGTGAAAAGACAGCTCCCACTGCAAAGATCCCACTGAGCAGTGATCTCACCTCCAGAGCTGTTGCAGCAGCTAACATGAAAGGGCCTCCCTGTTGTAATGGATTCAGTTTAATTAAATCTAGCAATCTGTTTCTGAGTCAAAGTTTTTCTTCGTCTACAGCTGCCCAGCTACCCACGCAATCCTTCCTATTAGGCCACACCTGCCTAACCCTATTCAGAGTTCAGTGTTGAGTTGTGCAGACCACGTCAGACAAAGAGGCATGTATGGTGTCATGCTCAGAATGATATTGCAATGGGCAGCATCCTACTTGGGGCCTCACATGTGTGATCCCAGTTTTTATATGTGCAAAAAGGACACCATGTCTTGCAAATCTATCCCTCCAGAGGGCACCAGGAGGAATCTAAGAGTGCTCTATGTAGAAATGAACAACTGATGGAGGGGAAGGTGGCAGAGCTTTCTGCTTCTATAGCCAGTAAAGATACAATATTGCATCCTTATGATCTTGCTACGATTCTGGCTGCAGCAGGTCTTCCCTTACCTGTTTTACATTGTAGCCTGTCTTTGCACTGGTCTCGATAAACATGACACTCAGTTCTTTGGCTCTCTGTTCTCCCTCTTCAATTGTTATCTGCCTGAGGACACACAGGAGAGAAGGGAAAACCGTAACTGTTCTAACCTTGCTGGGAAGGACTGGGGAAGGACCTAGCTTAAAAGTCTGAAGGGAGAAAGGGGAAGAGAATTGCGGTTGTCTGTGGTCTTGAGCACAGGCCTGTTTCCTCGCACCTCAGAGCAGAGATGGTCAACGTCTCATGCCTACAAAGCCACAAGACCCCACAAACAGATGCCATGAATTGTGCCTCTATGACATGGGCTGCCTGGCAGACAAAGTGCAGGCAAGGGAAGGTTTCAGTACCTAAATCCTTTGTGACTCAGCAAACAGAACGAGGGGGAGCTGAAGAGCGCATAGAAGTGTTTGAACCCAAGGGAGGGGGAGCCGAGCCCGGTCTGATCACACTTTAAACATCTGCTCAATCTGCTGAGAGTGGAGCCTCATTTCGGCATCCTCAAGCAGGCAGGACATATTTTGTGGGTGGAGCTTGGAAGAGTCGAACCAGTCGAACCAATGCTCCCCTCCCGCATTCGGCCCCAGGTGTGTGGGTGAGGAGATGGGAAAATCATTTGAACCCCTTTCCCGGCTGGACTCTCAGTGTCTATTCTGTGCCCATCAAAGTGGCACTGTCCTGTGAGCTCGGCCTCTGGGCTGCAGCAGGAACCCTCTTTACATGCCCTGGGCATGTTGATCATTAAGGACGTACCAGGCATGGGGCAGCACTTGAGGGTTAATGAATACATTGCCGGCCTTTCTCTGTGCTGGCACAGGGTATGAGGTTCGATTGGCACTAAACAGTATTCTCCTCTTCTTGTATTCTAGCAAAGTGCCTAGTGCAGAGGGGCCCAGCGTGGGCGTGAGTGAATGCAGACACTGAATCCCTCTGCCAGCACAGGCTGGCTTCTCCAGCTCAGTTTTCTGATCAAATGATGGAAAAAGTAGATTCTCCAGCTGCCCCTGCAGTCACCAGATCTACACTGCGCTTAGACATCTGTGGCTGGCCCGGGGCACCGGACTTGGGCCACAGGCACTGACGTCTACTGGCACCAGTGGGTGCTCGACCTCCCTCTGCCCCAGCCCCGCCCTGACTCCACCCCTGCCCCGCCCCCTCCTACTCCCATTCCAACCTCTTCCCCAAAGTCCCCACCCTAACTCCGCCCCCATTCCAACCCCTTCCCCAAATCTCTGCCCTGGACCCGCCTCCTCCTCTGAGTGTGCCACGTTCCCGTTCCTCCCTCCCTCCCGGAGCTTGCTACAGCTGTTTGGTGGCAGCAAGCGCTGGGAGGTAGGTGGAGGAGCGGGGATGCAGCATGCTCAGGGGAGGAGGAGGAGGTGAGGAGGGGCAGGGCAGGGAGCTTGGCTGCCAGTGGATGCAGAGCACCCACTAATTTTTCCCTGTGGGTGCTCCAGCCCCGGACACCCATGGAGTCAGCGCCTATGCATGGGGCTGTTTCATTGTGGTGTAGACAGGCTTGCACTGCAGCCCGAGCTCTGGGATCCTCCCACTGCACAGGGTCCTAGAGCCTGGGCACCAGCACTGCAGTTAAACAGCCACTTAGCCAGAGCCCCATCAGCTCGAGTCCGGGGGCACGGACCAGTCGCGGGTGTCTAAGTGCAATGTAGACATACCCTAGATCGGTCTGACTCCATAGGGCAGCCAGCCTTCTGATGCCTGTCAAATCCATTCTTCTGACTTGACATCCACATTCCCTGTCTCCTCAGCTGCTTTCTGGAGGCCTGAAGGAACAACTGGCACCTCAGACCTCTCCTTGGAGAAGCGGGAGAACAATGGAAGCTGGAAGTCCTGCAAAACTTAGCTTAATGCAGCCCTTCTTCCCTCTCCTCTAGCCGCAGACAGGCCCTGGGAAAGCCCACTGCTATGCTGCAAGAACGCATCCATGGAGGAGAGACCGTGCATGTGCAGGCCCAATGGACACAGCTACCGCAGTTCTCCATCAGCAGCGCAGGGACTCAGACACACCTGCAGCAGAGCACCCCCAGGGACACACTTCTCTAAGATGAATGCCAAATTCCTCAACAGTGGCAACAGAGGGGGGAATTGGAGGCTCTTCTAGCTGTTAATGGGTTGAAGGCTGGCTGCTGTTTGGCCCCTTTCTCTGCCCTCCACCTGCAGCTCCTTTTGCCCACAGATTGCTGGATAGCTGCCTGGAGCCACTTTGTCTGATTCAGCAGCATGTTTCCTGGTGTCTTGGAGGGCCACAAGGAGAGTGGGGGCCCTCCCCCACCTCCCAGCAGTATGAGCGTGATTCTGACAACTCAGCTTTCTTCAGTGGAAACCAGGAACTCCACCTCCCTCTGCCTGCCCAGATCTCTACTACCACATCTCCCTACCATCTCCAGAGCACAGGCTCCCTTCCTGTCTCTCTACTTTATCCACCCCTCTGCACCCTCTTGCTCACTCTATCTACTCCGCCCCAGAATCTGGAAAACTCCATCTCTCCATCCCCAGAGCGACAGTTCTCCCCTGCAGTACCCATTCTTTGCTGCCAGATTGCTCTCACTGGCCTCTAGCACACTCACCTTCTCTGTTTAATCAGCGTGGCACTGATGCTAAAGGGATGCTACCCTTGCAATCCCTGCTCCAGGATGGGAAGAGGCTGTGGCTCTATTCCACTCCTGCAGGAGGCTGGGTCCCCAGCTCTCTAGCTCCCAGAGAGCTGTTTCACAGGGTGTCTCGAAATGCAAAGCCCTTATTTCCCTACCACTGAATTCCAACTGTTCTGTTCACCAGGATGCTGGAGGGAGCTCCTATCAGACACCTGCCTAGAAGCACTGCATTTCTTGCAAAGAGTTTATCTTTTTGTTCCATTTTGTCCCCCTCCCCTCCCATTTACTCTGGTGAATTTCAGTGGAATTCCATTTCATCCTGGAATTTTTTTGTCAGCAGCTCTTAACATGTGGGCAGTGTGACTGAGTTGATAGTGCACTGAACTGGGCCACAGGAGACCTGGGATTCTAGTCGCAGCTCTGCCCCTGGCCTACAGGCTAACTTACTTTGGCCCATAGCCTCAAAGGATGCCCTATCTCTCACTAAAATCAATGTGTGTTGGGTGCCCAAATAGCTCTGAGGACCAAGGCCTTTGGCTCTGTACAGTAAGGAGAATGACGCTTACCTCTTGGGAGAGCACTTTGAGCTGTCTGGATAAGGGCTAGGCATTATTAGTCAGCCGCCACAACCAGAAATGCCCACTTCTTCCCAGCCTGTCTTCAACAGCTCATATTTTGGTCCAGGCTGATTGGGACCTGTGGGCCAGGATCCCCCAGCTAGGGTGACCAGACAGCAAGTGGTGGGTAACAGGAGTCTATATAATACAAAGCCCCAAATATCGGGCTGTCCCTATAAAATCGGGACATCTGGTCACCCTACCCCCAACTGCGTGCCTGCTGGCAGCATGTCCCTGAGCTAGATCAATCAGGGGCTGCTGCACCTACTGCAGTCAGGCTCAGGACCCCTATAAAAGGCAAGACAGGCTGCTAGGAGGGAGACAGGATCCTGTAGACTAGCAGCCATGGCCAGGAGCTTTGCACACATAGCAACTGATCTGCTTATGGAAGGAGCTGTCAGCAGGGGGTTACTCCAGTAACACTGGTCATGGACCTGTAAAGCAGGGGACTACACTTCCCATCAGCTTCCCCTCCTCCCCCCCCCCCCCCAATTGCACTCCCTGCCCCTGGCCAGGTAAGGGGGAAGATCCTGAGGTGGGCGGTGGCTGGGCTCTGGTTTGGAGAGAATTCCCGGGAATGGGGGAACTGTGCACAGGGCCGCTGTGACTGCTGGATGCTCCAGCTGGGGCAGGTCTGCATGGGACTTCTGGGGGAGCAGTCGCAGCTGGGCACAGAACCAGTGCAGAGGGGCCCCCATGAGAGACATTAACTGAGTCTGGCTTGGGAACCCTCAAAGGCTTATTTGCTGGGACAGAGAGTGGCCTGGAGCGGGCACCCCTGGCATTAGCCCTGCAGAGCCCTGGTTCTCTACTTGGCTGCTATTGTTCACTTAGTCTCTGTCCCTAGTTTGTGTGCGGCCTTCCCCTTTCCTGACAGCCCCAGTACAAAGCTCTCCCTGAGCCATGTGTCTCAGTGGTTACCGGGACCCAACAGGGCTAGCGCAGCAGGGCCTAGCTGCTGCAATACCTCCAGTCATTGCCTCTAACACGTGGTACGCTGGGCAGGCTACGGGCACCCCAGTGCTTGGGGTACCAAGTAACCCCAGTAATGACACTTGATCAGACAATCTGACACTCACAGTATTTCAGTGCCCCCCCCCCAAGCCAAAATGTCAAACTCAATAGGATACCACTGAGTTACCATGGGGCAGAGCAGGAAAAAGGGGGTTGCAGCTGTGGCAGCGATTTGAACATGGCCAGTCTTCCAACCGGTCTCCCAATGGTACGTCAGTGCTTATCAGCTGTGACATCTGAGAATCTGCTCTAGAACTGCTGGGCTGTAAGGATAATGCTGTTCTCTTCCCTACCCGGTTCCCATCCTCCCGGCCCCCAGCCCCTCCTTTACCTCTTGTCTGCGAGGTCCGTCTTGTTGCCCACTAGCATAATGATGACATCACCTCCCCTTTCTGTCCTGACATCATCAATCCATTTGGATGTCTGCTGGAAGGAGTTGAGATCTGTAAGTGAGGAGACAGAACAGTGCAGGCGGCTGTGAGAAAGAGAATGATTTTTGCCAATTGTGTGATCTGCTGCGGTAACTTGGTTGACTTCTGTCGAGTTAATCCTGGTTTTACACTGGTGTCACTGAAAAGAGAATTGGATTCTGGGTCACTTTGGACAAGTCAGGTAAAATCTGTGGTGTCTCAGTTTATCTCAGGGTCTGTAATAAATATAAAGGGAAGGGTAACCACCTTTCTGTATACAGCGCTATAAAATCCCTCCTGGCCAGAGGCAACATCCTGTTGCCTGTAAAGGATTAAGAAGCTCAGCTAACCTGGCTGGCACCTGACCCAAAGGACCAATAAGGGGACAAGATACTTTCAAATCTTGGGACGGGGGAGCGGGAGGAAAGGCTTTTGTTTTGTGCTCTTTGTTTACATGGTTGTTCTCTCTTGGGACTGAGAGAGGCCAGACAGAAATCCATCTTCTCCAACCCATCCTAATCCAAGTCTCCAATATTGCAACCAGTATAGGTAAACCAGGCAAGGCAGATTAGTTTATCTTTTGTTTTATGTGAATTTTCCCTGTGTTAAGAGGGAGGTTATTCCTGTTTTCTGTAACTTTAAGGTTTTGCCTAGAGGGGGATACTCTGTGTTTTGAATCTGAATACCCTGTAAAGTATTTTCCATCCTGATTTTACAGAGATGATTTTTATCTTTCTCTTTTTTAATAAAACCCTTCTTTTAAGAACCTGACTGATTTTTCCAGGAGCTCTGTTCCAAGATCTAGGGGTTTGGGTTTTTGATGATTTTGTAACCAATTGGTTAGGATATTATTCTCAAGCTTCCCCAGGGAAACGGGGTGTGTAGAGCTTGGGGGGATATTTTGAGGGGAAGATGTCTCCAAGTGGTCTCTTTCCCTGTTCTTTGTTTAAAACGCTTGGTGGTGGCAGCATACTGTTCAAGGACAAGGCAAAATGTGTACCTTGGGGAAGTTTTTAACCTAAGCTGGTAAGAATAAGCTTAGGGGGTCTTTCATGCGGGTCCCCACATCTGTACCCTAGAGTTCAGAGTAGGGAAGGAATCCTGACAGGGTCTGATCACACTTGACAGGGATATTGTGAGATTTAAAAATGTAAAGTTTATACTGCGGTGTTTACAGAAAGGCACTAAGTGCAAAGCATTTGTAACAGTGCCATTAAGTATTGTTTGCAGTGGTGTTGTAGCTGTCTTGGTCCCAGGATATTAGAGACAAGGAGGGTGAGGTTCAATAAAAGAGATTACCTCACTCACCTTATCTCATTACATATTGTCCTTTATGTTACACTACAGGCAAGCATGGAACTGTACAGTGCCTCGTGGGCTGGGACATGAAGGGAGAAGGAAAGAAATCAGGGAAAAGAGAACATCAAGTGAGTGGCTTGTGCAACAGGAAAGACGGTGCTTACAGGGACAGAGCCAGTTAAGCGTCCGGGTGAGCCCTTCCAGAGGAAATACTGGAGAAGGGCAGAAGAGATGAACAGAAAGATAATTAGACTGGGGAGTCATCAACGGAGAGGTGCCTGACAAACCCACGGGAGCATGAGAGATCAGCAGGGGCTAAAGTAAGGAGGAGCATTCACATTGCCCCCTTCTCCTTGGCTAGTGCAAGGGGAGATCCCTTCCTGGTCCAACCCATGTTACCCTCTAAAGGGCACTAAAGGGAGACCATAGAGGGGGAGAGGGGCAGAGCTTGGGGGGCACATAGGAAGAGCTGCATAGTTGAAACCCACCAAAGAGAGGCTGACGGAGATGTCGGAAGAGTGGGAGAAGAATTGGAGGTGACGAATCGGTTTGAGGGCATCGGAAAGGTGATGGAGAGTGAGGACAATGGCCTTGGTTCTCCACTGCTCTGTGCAGAGTGTGACATGCTGCCCCGACCGTGAGTGCATGGGAGCATTTCACACCCAGTTGCACAGGGGGACTAGTCTGCACAGGGGGCAAGACGGGGAGGGGTGAGGGAGTAGCCAAGAGAAGGATATTAACAGCATTGGTGGCAGGAGTCTATGGTGAGAAGAGGCTGATGGCAAGGGGAGCTGGGGGAAGGGGTCATGCAGGCTGGAAGAGATCCCATGTTCAAGGAGTCTGCAGAAGGAGGAATGGGGCTGAGAGTGGAAACAAAGGCATGTGTGAATGTCAGACAGTCTCTAAGGAGAGAGAGGGTGCAGGAGAAAGGGCCTGAGGAGAGGTACGGGGTGGAAGGTCAGACCATGAAGGAAAATGAGGAAAAAGAACCGTCGGCGGTTGCTGTCACTTTTGTCCATAACTTCCCACCTGCGTACTGAGCTCCACATGTCACTGCCACACTGGCTGCATGCGCCAGTTCTACCCAACGCCTGCTGGGATGACACCCGACCCACCCCTTGAATCTACAACAGCTGAGAGGTTCACTCTGCTGAGGATGACATATTCTCTCATGAACGTAGCTTCTCTGGGGACTGTTTCTCCAGCCGGTAACTCAGCTCAATACACAAAGGCCAGGCCCAGTCTCTGCTCTGGAACTCTGTGGAGAACCCACCACCCTTCAGAGAGGCACAACAACTGAAACAGGGACTTTGGGTGTAGTCCTGTCCTGAGGAGCCTTTTAGCAACACATTGTGAATGAGCAATACATCCCCAGATCAGCTCCGTAACCCTGCCATGCTCCTGTTGCAGCCACCTCCCTGCCACTGTGTCACTTCTCTGTCACTTTGCATTTCCATTTCTGTTAGCAGCCACAACAAAAACCCCACGCCCGTGCCACCAATGGGAGCTGAATACAAAGCAGAAAGAAAGGTCAGCGTGCCAAAGGCTGGCCTTGCCTTCGAGCTCCCAAGCAGCGGAAAGGCACTGGGTCTCATTTTCAATCTCTGTAGCAGCAGAGCAGCCTGCAATTCTTCTTCAGCATGGAGACTGCCTTCTCGCTGGACAGGACTGACTTGTTTGGGCACCTCTCATTACCAGTGTACACAGGCCAGGCCTGGTTCTGAATCTTTGTCCTTGCTTCACAGCTGCTGCATTGGTGAAGAGCTAGCTGAGAATCCTCAGGATAGTGTAAATTGCATAAATATGAATTCATTTACATGTATTTGCATGCCTGCATTGCCTTCTTGTCCCTCTCACAGCCGCTTCATGTATTCATTCCAGACACTCCAACCTGCATTTATTCCACACCTCCTTTTACCACACCTCCCAACCTGGTCTTTCCAGTCACACACACACTCAGTGTGTGCAAATTCCCAAAATGCAATTTGCCCCCAGTTTCTTCTGCACCCACCCAGGTTTACTGCCTGCACCCTCATCCATTGCTCATGCAGCCAGCTCGACCGCCCAGGCTGTGGGTTTCCACGTTCTTCTAGAATGTTTTTGGGGGTGCAGGACACTCTGGGTCGCTGAGGAAATCTCCTCCGATGTGCTGCTTTGCTCATGTCTGCTGAATCTAAAAGGTAGGCCTGGCCATTGTTAGGGTGTCATACAGGACTCCCTCTTCAGGAAAGCACACAAAGTACACAAATGTTCTAGGTCCATCAATGGCTATTAGCCAGGATGGGCAGGGATGGCGTCCCTAGCCTCTGTTTGCCAGAAGCTGGGAATGGGCGACAGGGGATGTCACTCAATGATTACCTGGTCTGTTCATTCCCTCTGGGGCACCTGGCATTGGCCATTGTTGGAAGACAGGATACTGGGCTAGATGGACCATTGGTCTGACCCAGTATGGCCGTTCTTATGTTCTTATCTAAAAGTGGCTCTTCTGAGATAGCAAATCTCAAATAGAATTTTACAAAAATAAACATGCAGCTAGCTACGAAGAGTACAAGCAGTCTTCTCACTGACGTCTTGTATGATTCAATCCACGAGCTATATCATATGATTGGCTAGTTCCTCAATGGGAGTCAATCAGCATAGCGCTATTGACTTCAGTGGAGCTGCAGCGATTCACACCCACTGAGGATCTGTCCCACCACTTCTATCCAAGAAATAAATCCTAGACATGTTTGTCCAGCATCTGTTGACATGAAAGCCCAACTGTCTTTCCCGCGAAATAACCTGCCCTTGGATGGATGCAGAGATTACAAATCAATCACTTCTGAGGCATCCTCTTCCTAGTTATGTAATGGACATTGAGAAAGGTGGACTGTGGCTGGCCAGCCCTACATGCAGTGCCACTCTCCATGAAGACTAGGGACCAAATGGCTAGGTCCCTAGTCTTCATCCAGCTACAGACTAGGGACCAAATGGCTAGGCAGCAGTTCTGCGGAAAAGGACCTAGGGGTGACAGTGGACAAGAAGCTGGATATGAGCCAGCAGTGTGCCCTTGTTGCCAAGAAGGCCAATGGCATTTTGGGATGTATAAGTAGGGGCATAGCGAGCAGATCGAGGGACGTGATCGTCCCCCTCTATTCGACATTGGTGAGGCCACATCTGGAGTACTGTGTCCAGTTTTGGGCCCCACACTACAAGAAGGATGTGGATAAACCGGAGAGAGTCCAGCAAAGGGCAACAAAAATGATTAGGGGTCTGGAACACATGAGTTATGAGGAGAGGCTGAGGGAACTGGGATTGTTTAGTCTGCAGAAGAGAAGAATGAGGGGGGATTTGATAGCTGCTTTCAACTACCTGAGAGGTAGTTCCAGAGAGGATGGTTCTAGACTATTCTCAGTGGTGGAAGAGGACAGGACAAGGAGTAATGGTCTCAAGTTGCAGTGGGGGAGGTTTAGGTTGGATATTAGGAAAAACTTTTTCACTAGGAGGGTGGTGAAACACTGGAATGCGTTGCCTAGGGAGGTGGTGGAATCTCCTTCCTTAGAAGTTTTTAAGGTCAGGCTTGACAAAGCCCTGGCTGGGATGATTTAATTGGGGATGGGTCCTGCTTTTGAGCAGGGGGTTGGACTAGATGACCTCCTGAGGTCCCTTCCAGCCCTGATATTCTATGATTCTATGATTCTATGAAGATAGGATCTAGCTCCCTGCCTACAGGCCCACCCATCTGAGCAGTGCAC